TTATAGTCCATCGATCAAAAGTAATAGTGTAAGGGATTGATTTTTAAGTACTGATTTCTTTTTTTAAATAATACTAAGATTAATTTTATAACGTATACAAATATTTTCATTTAATGATATGAGCAAATATCTTACTAATATATTTTCGACTTTTTGCTTTTTACAGTTCGGTTTCTCAACTTCACATCATGCTTTGTAGATTTAAGAATTTTATTTTATAAAAAATGCTGCAAAAAAACTCCTGTTATAGAGAAATGTATAGCTAAATGCAGAACAATCTTATTTTAGCTGTAAATTAACAGAAATCTTTATTTAATTATTCAAATAATATATGTTTACGAGTATATTATTTTTTGCTAGAAAATTAGGAAAATAACAAGTTATAAATTGCATTTGTAAAGCGCACATTATTTATCAATTCTATATTATGTTTTTGAGTTTTTCTTCACTTTTTTATTTTGTACATTTTTTTGATATGCAAATTTTTTTCTATAAGAAATCGCTGTTGTAAGAAATTTGTACGTACGCTTGAAAACAAAGACAAAACGTGAATATTATTTTGAGGGCAAATGAAACGCATAGAGTATGAATATAATTCAGCAAGTTAAATTATCTACGCTTAAGCTAAGAAAGTATTGAAGCAGTCAAAAGCTTAATAAATTAAAGTTTTAAAAAGTAAAATAAATAATTTTTGCAGGAGGATGACATATTGCCAGAGAGGTCACATAAACAAAGCATCAAAGATTTGCACAACTTTGTTCCTTCTCTGAAGTAAAACAGTAACATATCTTTAGTTACAATAACAATTTTAATCAAAAATTACAAATATCAGCTAAAATGTTCACAATTTCACAAAGTTCTTATTTTTAATGTTCACAGTTTCACAAAGTTCTTATTTTTCTTACCGATCGTTCTTTGATGACAATGCTGTCTTCGATTTCGATCATCCTTTTTCATTTAATTTTAAATCCTGAGTGTTGTTAGTTTTTAATCTGTAAATTCAAATTTCCCGCGTTAATCATTTATCACTGCTAAGAAGCGAAACAGTACAGCAGAAATTTATCTACCTGAAAAGATAAAATCAATCTGTAATTGTTACTGTCTGATTTTTCTCATTTTTCCCCAAATGTTAGCCACTGTGACAATTGCTATTTTTGCCACATGCAAATAACAATTGATTTGATAATTGGTGCAAATGTAAGTTTCACGTTTTATTATCTCAAAAAATGGTAATAGTTTAGAAGTGTTAGTGAAGCAGAAATGTCAGAATCAGAAGAGGAAAAGCTAAGTCAAGGAGTGCAAGAAATGCAGTACTTGGAGGAACCAAAACAAAAGTTACCGGAACATTCGAACTGTAGTTGGAAGCAGAAAGTTATGACTTGGCTTGGTCTAAGTCGAAAAAATGCAAAGTATATATTTAAGAATTCATTTTAAAAAGGTTTTTAAAATTTTTGCATATTACACATCACTATTTCCTTCTCATCCTTTACTTGCGTTTAAATTTTTTTTT